GTATCCTGTATCCTGTATCATGTACCCTGTATCATGTATCCAGTATCCAGTATCATGCACCTAGTATCATGTACCCAGTATTTAGTTTTTATATATGTATGAAGCCAATTTTTTACAGATTGATTCTTGCTGAAGAAGTTTAAACCCTCTTACATGAACTGAACACAAAAGACAATGAATGAAAAATTGAATTTTAATGTTTTTTTTTAAAAATGGGATTTTTTTCGAAAATTGTACTGATTATACAGATTTTTTAAAAAAAATGTACGGATTTTTAAAAAAATGTACGGATTGGTTTAAAAAAAATGCACGGATTGTACGGATTTTTTAAAAAAAAATTGTACGGATTGTTTTTCGAAAATTGTACGGATTGTACGGATTTCTTCTGGAAATGTACGGATTTTTGTACGGATGTGTTCAAAAAAGTTTTGGCCACCCTGCATATACGATGATTTCAATTCTAATGAACAGCTTTATTTTGTACAAAAATCACTTTAAAAAGTGGAATATATTAAAGATTGTCTAGGATAAACGACAGTAAAATTGTGAATTTTGTTCTACTTTATATCATTCCTGTGTTGATATTATTGAAAAACGGCTTCTTCCATACTTTTTACAGATTTTAGCCCTATTAGCTTGATTATATATTACAAGCTGGAGGGTCCGGTGAAACCCGTGGAATAAAAAAGAAATTAGCCTTTGTAACCCCCTGGCAATAAGTGTTCACAAAAAAAATTGGCCGGGTTTAAGGGGCGCTACGACATCTGCTCTATTTCCATTTGCTCTATGGCCATTTGCTCTAGTGCCATTTGCTCTATTAACCATTTGCTCTATAGCTCATAGATTACGACGTTTGCTCTATATGTCATCTGCTCTATACGTCAATTGATCTATGACATAACACGTCATTTGCTCTATACACATTTTTATGACTGTGATGGTCCAATTGCTCTACTCAACATTTGCTCTATGAGTAATCACGTCATTTGCTCTATAAACATATTTTACAAACATCTAATCACATTAAAACTATATTTTTACAATTTTACATTTTACAATTCTTCCTACAGTTTCATTATTCCACCAACTTCCTGGAGATAGTTTTGTTTGTCTGGTATTTGTACATATTGTGAGACCAAGCTAAATATAGTTTTCACCACATATTAGGTTTTTTTACCCCTCTTATTATTGAGCAGTCTCTCTGTCATGATGAACTTTGAAGAACTGATTAAAACTGCAATTTGCGAATTTTCAAAAAAAAAACCGCATTTCAGAGTCAAGTTACGCTCAGGAATTCCAATGAAAGCTATTTTGTAGTGTATTTTTAGGTTATAGAGCAAATGACGTGTTTAGTCATAGAGCAAATGAGGTATAGAGCAGATTGAATATAGAGCAAATGACGTATAGAGCAATTGACTTGATAGATCAAATGGAACTAGAGCAAATGGCCATAGAGCAAATGGAAATAGAGCAGATGTCGTAGCGCCGGTTTAGGGAACATATATACGAATGTCTTGTTTTATTATATAGAAGAAGATTGCATATATGAATGTATATTCAAAAAATGTTTTATGGAGAAAAAACGCCGCTTGTAGGTCTTTAAACTCTGAACATCTGAAGCGAAATTGTCATAATTCTAATTTCTTACAATTGATTTGTTCTTTGTATTTTCAAGAAGGTAAATAATCCTGAGTAAGGTTACCAAATTAGCAATGCACCAAGAGTTGATTCAATCTTTATTCTGACACTTTTGAAGAAAAATGAAGAAAAATAAATAAGAAAATTTCTCCGAATCCTTTTTCATCTTACTGCAGACGATGACTCTGTATCCTGAAGTTGAATAGAAACGATGATTTCCCGGTATTCTTATTGTACCTGTAGAAGGCAATTCTGCAAAATTATAAACCCTAGGGCCGGAAACTTTTAATATGTTTAAATGCTGGAAACTTTTAAATTCTCAAAATTTGTTTGAGCCATTTTGAAAGAGAACTAGTTAAACTCATTCTCTCATCTTTCTTGGTCTACACTTCAAACTTTTGACCAACAATTGCAGAGAGTAAAAATCGGTGTAATTGTGCTGTCAAATTCAAAAGTTTGTGCATACAGTGAAAGCCAGAATACTGTGGAATATGAAGACTACTTTATATCAATACTTAGCGTATTTGATGTTGTTACAATGAAAATAGTTTTATTAAATGGGTCTGTTTAAACAGCACAATTGTCTTGTCTCATGTTCACGGACTATTTAATAATATATTTTGAGTCTAAAAGGCGTCTTACTCATCAGCATTTTCTGGTTCTCACTCTACAAACAGGGGAATAAGAAGGAATACATTATTTAATAAACAAATTTCTTAGTTAAAATGTTATTTCTTTTTTTTCAGATTCGTGAGCAAAACCAAATTAATAAGGAGAGTATTCAACCTGGGGGAATGAAGGTTTGGACGGATCCATTTGACCGACCTGGCAAACCTGGAGCTAATTAGATTTTAAATCTTAACTTAGAAACCAACCCTTCGAGTGATTTTAGTGATTTTAGAGACATTTCGGCTCGAGGCCGCAGTAATGATTCAAACAAACAATATGAAACCTATCTTAAACCTACTCCGGTATAAGAGGTATGAGACCATTCTCCCGGGATCGGTCCGAACTCTCTCCGGGTTCCATGGGTTCCGGAACCCTGGAGCTAGACTAGGAGATAGTTCTGTATTTCTCCAATCTGGAACCAAGATTAGTGAACTCCCCCTGGTGGTGAGGAAGGTTAACAACATTTTCGAATTATACAAAAGGTGAGATAATTAAAAGATGGAATTATGTTTCATTATAGGGAAGGGGGGGAGGTAGAGGTGCTTTATTTAAAGCATACTTTGTAAATATGACTATAATCCGGATTTGAGAACCCGCCCTAGCAGCGATGGTTGTATGAATTGTCTAATCGTTTATGTGTTTATTAGGATGGGTATTGAGCATACAGCTACAGAACTCAAACCAACGGAGGAACAGAATGAGAAATTCGTTCTCACCTTCCCTCCGGAGATGAAAGAGGAGGAACGGGAGATTATCGATGGGTTTAATCGTTGTTACAACTCCTCCAGTATATTCCGTCTTCTGGAGACTATACCTAGAGAAGAGGTTACTCCTCTAGTAGCAGTTCATGCTCTCAGGTCAATACAACTATTAAGATAAAACGTAATTTGTCCAATTTAGAACCGTTCCCATGAAACCGTTTTCTAATGAAGATATTGTTTTTTTTTTTCAAAGTAAAAAAATTTTAATTCTGATCATTTCTATATGTTTTCCCAAATAAAAAGGCGCAATCGCAATTAAAAATTCAGTTTTAAATATTATAAACATTGATAGCTAATTCATGCTTATCAGACAAAGCTTTTAAGATTACCGTTGTGAATCGGTCATAGCCATCTTTGTTTGAAGGGTCTTCAGACGTCAGAGGCCACTATGCAGTTTTTTTTTTAAATGTTTCTTTTATTCACGGTTCACTGAAATTTTGAACTTATAATTTTGTCATTAATTTTATTTTAATATTTACGAAGAAAACTGCAAATATTTTATATTACTTTTTTATCTCATGTTTTTAAATACTTTTTAGAGGGATTAAAGTGGAATAATATTATTAAGATTAAAGGATTATTTAAAAGTTTATTTATATTTTAGGAGAATAATTGATCTTGAAAACAGTTTTGAGTATCGGAACCCTGGAGCAACGAGAGAAACTATCCGAGGAACAAGACGGAACCAGGATACATTTCTCAGAATGGCGTTCATGACAATGCTGTTGGAGATAGTTTGTAACTCCAGGTACAGTGGGTTCTTCATATTTGATTTAAACAAACCACACTTAATATTCCGATAAAATGGTAAAACCACCCCCCCCCCCTTCTCTTGAAAAAGATTAGGTTTTTGATGTTTTATTATTCCTGTGTGAATTTGTAAGTTGCTGTAGTGAAATAAATCTATCAAGACAAAATATATAAAATAGTTATCTTTTCTAAATCAAAAGTTAAGTTGTATTTTGCAATGCAATCTACATTTTATTCTTTCAAAGACACTTATTCAAGAAATGTTAGAAACAACGGAAGTATATTATTGCATTGCAGGCAACCAAAAGTGATCCTTGATGGACTTAACACTGTGATGAGAGATCAGTTCCCAGCTTCCCTAGCAACCTATAAGGTAATAATAGGAAAGAGATGGAAGTGGGAGGAGGGGGGGGGGCGCAAAGTATGTGTATGCAGCTACTTTAATGGGAAGTTAAGGTAATTTTACTTTACCAAGGGTTTCCAAGACAAATGTTGGTCAAGGAAACCACTTTTTTTCCGAAAAAGAACTGAACAAAAGATTTTTTGTGGATAAAAGCAGTAAATAATGAAGGCCAAACACATGTTTGACAATTTTACATTGTTATTTTTAGTTGAAAGCCGCCTTAAAACGGTAGCATTGGAAACCACATTAAACGAAAACACTTTTATTTTTTATAATTGGAACATTTCTACTTACAAACTAGCCGGGGCAATTAAGTTCACACCTTCGCAAGGGATATTAATTATTAAATACAACCTGTCTAGGAGAGGTTGCTAGAGGAGCTGATGTTCTGTGTAACCGAGGGTGTATTCTCTCTCCTCGAGGTTTGCCGAGCCATCAACATCCTCTCCATGTTCTACGAGGACAGGAAGAAGTGTCTGGAAACCGCAGATAAACTCTGGTTTGGTATAGTTGATCAGTACAAACAGATAAACAGTCCGGAGAGTATAGTTGCTGTATTTACCGCTCTACCCAGTCTTAACAAAAGCAGGAATCTAGTTATGAAGGTTAGCTCACTTCAAGAGTATAAATAAGAACAAATACGGCACAGAATGAAAGATTATGTTCTGGCCTGATTGTAAGAAGCCATGTTTTCAAATAGCAACATCCGACGAAGTCGCTAACAAAAAAATTTTATAATCTAAAAATTGTGTGTGGCAATTTCAAAGTTTTAATATGGGTTAAAAAATATATTAAAGGTTAAAATAGATTTTACATGTTATGTTTTAAACATAATAGTAGGATATAATATCAAGAATACATGTATCAGATAACATGATGCAAAGTTTTTCTTTGTCCTATTAGATCGGAAATTCTGCCAAAGATTATTTTTAATTTAAAACCCCGAAAATAAATACTCTGGCATAATCTACTAGCGTTTAAAATATACCCTTAAAATGTTCTGGAAAGTATATCGATTGATTGATAAAAGAATTTTTTAACTTCTCTTTATGTTTACAACCAGATGATTTTTATATTTTAAGCTTTGACTTTAAAAAATCTAAATTCATTGGTTTAAATATCACAATTACAAAATCAGCTCAAGTTGCAAAGATTTATGAACTAGAAAGTAGTTCTACTTCTAAAGCCCGTGTCTCCCTAGATACTTGAGAAGAGAGCTCTAGAGAACTGGGATAGATACGATACTGGAGATATTATTGAAATCCTACGAGTTCTTGTGGAAATCAAGTATGATAGGTAAGTTCTATTCAACCCTGACACTGAATCTCAGGGTTGAGTTTTATGCTTCATATGATAAGGACCTAAAAACTCGTTATTTAAAGTGACTGATCAGTGTTTTAGTAACTATTCATGCTGCTAGGATTTATTTCCAACATATTGTCAAGAACGACGAGAACTACAAATAACGCTATTTACTTCTTTTCTAAAATTAAAACTTAAACGTGACATGTTCTAAAATGAAATCAATAATCATTATATCTATTTATAACACTGTTATTTTGGTTCGCAGCGTTATAAAATTTTTGGACAGAAATTTCCTCTTTATCGAGAAGGTTCAAGCTCGGGACAAAATGTAATCTTCAAGTTATAGAGAAAATTTAAGTCCAAAAACTTTATAGCACGTCGTGCCAAAATGATAGTGTTATAGGTAATTTTCAGCAATAAACTAAATTTTTAGGAGAAAATCCGGGAACCAATCAAAACTTTATAGCACACGTGATATAATGTGCAGCTAATTTAACATTATAGCACTATGATTACTTTATAGCACGAAGATTACTTCATTATGAAATTCACGATGAAGTGAGGAAGAATGATAAAGTACGCAATAGTTTCTTAAAAAAAATTTAAACTATTCCAAATTAAAGTATCCAGACAGATTTAAATTAAAATGTAAACTATTAAAAAAGATAACTTTGCACATTTGGCCCAAGCCAGTTAATTTTGCACATTTGGCCCAAACCAGATAACTTTGCACATTTGGCCCAAGCCAGTTAATTTTGCACATTTGGCCCAAACCAGATAACTTTGCACATTTGGCCCAAACCAGTTAACGTTGCACATTTGGCCCAAACTAGATAACTTTGCACATTTGGCCCAAACCAGTTAACTTAGCACATTTGGCCCAAACCTGAAACTCAGCGTCAGGTCTGATGGTTTGATTTAATTTTGGGAATGGAAACTGCCCCATTCACATAATCAATTTTATAATTTGCAATTGCAATTTTATTATTTGCAATTACAACTTAATTATTTGCAATTATAATTTTATTATTTGCAATACGAGGTAATATGCTTGCTTAAATTATGTGAGAAGTATGATAAAATAAAAATGTTTAACAAGGCTAAGAAAATTCTCTTAAAGTAAAATTCCTCGTTAAAAGCAAAATGCATACTAAAAAGAAATGTATTTAAATATAGAATTTTATTCTCATGCTTCCATACAAATATTTTTTAGAAAGGAGGTTATGGGACATTAAATGACGTTTTTCCTTTAACAGAAAACTATTAAACAAGGGGGTTTGGGGAAAAATTCGTCCAAAGGAATTAAGTCTTTGCCACCAACTTTAACCCAATGTCGTAGACCGTAGACCTTAGCGTTTTCGAGATTAAATAATCTACGTTTAAAATATCAAAGGTTTACAGCATCAGTTCACATAGATTTGAAGAATTTAAATTCTGACAAAGACGCAATTCCTTTCTTGTGAAATGAAAATGTTTTTTGAGAGTGAATAGAATGTAACTTTAACCCAGATCTGAGTTTTAATATCAACAATCTCAAGTTCAAGTTTGGACAGAAAACTTGTATGTGTCACGTTGAATAAGGGCCTCCGTAAAATTATTTCTTTTTAAAATGAAATTATTAATTAGTGAAAGAAAAAATGGAATAGCAGTAAAAAAAAGAAGCAGATTTTTGCGACATTTTTCATAAAATGTCATAATTATTTGTTTATTTTTTAATTGAAATTAAATTTTGAGTCAAAGTTATTTTGAATAATTTTATTTAAAGGAATGGTACATTTTAGAATAAATTGCAAGGTTTTCAATAAGAAAAAAAGGAAAAATAACACTTGGCATTTTACCTAATTTTGAAATACTTATATTCGTTGCAACCTGATGTCAAAGATCTCTGAGCTTAAACCATTAGGTTGCAAAGGTATAGGAATTAGAAAGTTAAATTTTGAGTTAAGTGTTCAGTTCCTTTGAGTGGTTGTATATTGATTTTTGTTTAGGATAAGCCCGTCTTTCCTTGGAATGGTATCGGAGTGGTTAGCTCTTAATATACATAAGGTAGGAAAACAAAATTTCAACCGTTTTTATGTAATAATTATTTACAACTACTTTACAACGAAGTTAAGGGAATTTTACTTTACCAAGGGTTCCTACGACTAATTTTGGGCGAGGGAAGAAAAAAAAAAAAGTAGTCGTAGAAAATTTTTCGTCTTTTAAAAGGAAAATCCGCGATTTTTGTCATGGAAACTTCACAAAGCGGGTCATTATTTCACTTAACTGTCCCAAGGGACGCTAATTAATTCACGTTTTTCTGTTTGGATAATGACAGGTCGGTAATGTTGGTGAAAAGGCGGTAACATTTATAAAATATAAGGGGTTGTATGAAAAACTATTAGATGAAATGCTTTATTTAGTGTAAAATGTGATAACATAAGAAATAAAAATGGAACCGATCATTTCCTTTTGTATCCTTTATCCTGGTTTAAAATCCTTAAATCTTCATTTAATTCAAAACTTTCATTACCTTGCTCTTGCAATTTGATGTTCTCTTTTTTTGGTGGGGTGAGGGGGTGGGAGTTTATCTTACAACAAAAGTTATTCAGAACGGAAAGAATCTAAAATGAAAACACATAATTTTATCCTAGACACAAAGTTGGATAATTTATTTTATATTTTGGCTGTGTTGTCTCTTGGGCAATATTTTATGATTTGTATTCATTACTTTTCAAACTTTACCAATCCGAACCTTCCTTGCTGAATACTAAACTTTCTTTCAACACATTCTCATATTTTTATAGATTATTTCTCCTCAGAACTTTATCTGGAAAACAATTTTACGACTATTGGGAGAATCTTAGGAAACCAGTTAACCTTCTTTATCTCTACAGAATTGAATATGTCAGGGGAATGGACTTGGACATAATAAAATAATAATTTAATGGAATTGTCAACTTAATTTATCAGAATTCATCCTGTAAACCTTTTCTCTATGAACTAAAGGGACTAAGCAAAGATGGCGATGTCCGACTCACAAATGTATCCTTAAAATCTTTTCTGATCAAGTATTATTTAGATAACAATTAATGTTTGTAATTTAAAAAAAAATTATTTTCAATTTTGGTTTTGCAAAAGTGAATTACGCATTTCAACTGCAGGAAAACATATAGGAATTATCAGAATTACACATGGTTAAACCTAAATAAACTACAATATTTTTCACACATAATTAATCAGTTTGACTTCTCAAGGGTACAGTTGTGAATCGGGCATTGCTATCTTTGCATGGAGAGTCACTTGAAATTATGCTTACAGTTCTTATAATAGATTTATTTATCACAAGTGAAAACAAGAAGTTTAAATAATAGGATTAAAGGGTATTCTTATGATCGTTGAAATTAAAGATACAATTTAATTGAAGGGACATACCATTTATTTTTCAGGATTTAAACAAAGTATATTGTGTAGGTTAAGGAGGCGGAGATTAACAAAGTATATTGTGTAGGTTAAGGAGGCGGAGATAAACGAAGTATATTGTGTAGGTTAAGAAGGCGGAGATTAACGAAGTATATTGTGTAGGTTAAGGAGGCGGAGATTAACGAAGTATATTGTGTTGATTAAGGAGGCGGAGATGAACGATGTATATTGTGTAGGTTAAGGTGGAGATAAACGAAGTATATTTTGTAGGTTAAGGAGGCGGAGATGAACGAAGTAGTGTGTTGGTTAAGGAGGCGGAGATGAACGATGTATATTGTGTAGGTTAAGGTGGAGATAAACGAAGTATATTGTGTAGGTTAAGGAGGCGGAGATGAACGAAGTATATTGTATAGGTTAAGGAGGCGGAGATGAACGAAGTATATTGTGTATGTTAAGTAGGTGTAGATGAACGAAGCATATTGTGTAGGTTAAGGAGGAGGAGATGAACGAAGTACATTGTGTTGGTTAAGGAAGCGGAGATGAACGCAGTATGTATTGTGTAGGTTATAGAGGCGGAGATGAACTGAGTATATTGTGTGGGTGAAGAAGGCGGAGATGAACCAAGTATATTGTATAGGTTAAAGAGGCGGAGATGAACGAAGTATATATTGTGTAGGTTAAGGAGGCGGAGATTAACGAAGTATATTGTGTAGATTAAGGAGGCGGAGATGAACAAAGTATATATTGTGTTGGTTAAGGAGGCGGAGATGAACAAAGTATATATTGTGTTGGTTAAGGAGGCGGAGATGAACGAAGTATATTGTTTAGGCTAAGGAGGAGGAGGCGATGAACGAAGTATATATTGTGTAGGTTAAGGAGGCGGAGATGAACGAAGTATATATAGTGTAGGTCAAGGAGGCGGAGATAAATTAAGTATATTGTGTAGGTTAAGGAGGCGGAGATGAACAAAGTATATATTGTGTTGATTAAGGAGGCGGAGATGAACAAAGTATATATTGTGTTGGTTAAGGAGGCGGAGATGAACGAAGTATATTGTGTAGGTTAAGGAGGAGGAGATGAACGAAGTATATATTGTGTTGGTTAAGGAGGAGGAGATTAACGAAGTATATATTGTGTAGGTTAAGGAGGAGGAGATGAACGAAGTATATATTGTGTAGGTTAAGGAGGCGGAGATTAACGAAGTATATATTGTGTAGGTTAAGGAGGCGGAGATTAACGAAGTATATTGTGTAGGTTAAGGAGGCGGAGATTAACGAAGTATATGTATTGTGTAGGTTATAGAGGCGGAGATGAACTGAGTATATTGTGTGGGTGAAGAAGGCGGAGATGAACCAAGTATATTGTATAGGTTAAAGAGGCGGAGATGAACGAAGTATATATTGTGTAGGTTAAGGAGGCGGAGATGAACTAAGTATATTGTGTAGGTTAAGAAGGCGGAGAGTAACGAAGTATATTGTGTAGGTTAAGGAGGCGGAGATGATGACAATAGTTTACAGTTTACTCCAGCTTAACTATGTGGACAACAAGCTCATCAACAGTCTAGAGAAGGTTATCAAGCATAGAGGTTGTCAGGTATACAACACTGAATTTTCTGTTTAATTTGTTGCATTTAAAAAAAATTTAAATATTATAAAATTTTCAGCTTCTATAAACCCTCCTTGTGGTCATGTAAATGTCATAAAAAATTTGGGCCCGATCGGTTCAGTCGTTCTTATGTTTTCTTGATATAGCCATATAGACATTGGACAAGCCAAAAATATATAGCTATGAACGTAAAAACTAAAGAATGAGGAGAATCTGTTAGAAATGATATATCTGTGTTTTCTCGTCTTCTTGCAACAAATATGTTTAACAAAACTAGAAAATAATAAGTTAAAAATATTCTCCTCTTGTATTTTCGCCTTGATAGCTTTCTTTAATGTTAAATTTGATATTTTTCAGTTACAATCTAGTATAAAAATATATACTTTGTTCAACCCTGAGATCTAAACATAATATTTCCATATTTGATACCCATCATTTACAATAAATGTATACTAATTAAAAATACACCTTATTATACTGTTCAATGGTTAACAGAAATTATTCTTGAACATTTGATAACCTAACCTTAACTATTATTGTGGAATCAGGCCATTTTTAGCCAGTAGCACTTGATAAATGGTAAATTAATGCTAAGCTTTGGATTTTAGTTATAGAGTGTAAAAATGTAAACTACTGTTATATAACATGTTATATTATTGTTTTAGATAGCCGAGATTGATCTTGTAACAACGATTTGCGACTACTGTCATCATTTCAGGTTCAAATATTTAAGTAATAAGTATTTCAGTAGTTGTTTTAATGTTTTTTTTTTAAGAAAGAAAATAAGTAATTCAGTAGTTGTTTTAATGTTTTTTTAAGAAAGAAAATAAGTAATTCAGTAGTTGCTTTGATGTTTTTTTAAGAAAGAAAATAAGTAATTCAGTAGTTGCTTTAATGTTTTTTTTAAGAAAGAAAATAAGTAATTCAGTAGTTGCTTTAATGTTTTTTTTTTATGAAAGAAAACAAGAAAATCTTTGCCTGCTTTTTAAGACGAATGTGTAAAGAGTACCGTTGTAAATCGGCAATACTTCAGAGGGTCACTTGAAATTATTTTAACAGTCTCTTTACTGTTTATGATTTTCCTAAATTTACAATTTCATTTTTTTAGAATTCGTTCCCCTGTGGTTCTTGAAGGAGCAAGTGAATATCTAGTTTATCATGTAGCAAAGCTTTCAATACCACAAATATATTCTATAGCAAGGTAAATCTTATATTTTCAATACCACAAATATATTCTATACCTAGGTAAATCTTATGTTTTCAATGCCATCAATATATCTTTGTGTGTGAATAAATTTTTATAATAAAATAACATTCTATAGCAAGGTAAATCTTATAATATATTCTATAGCAAGGTAAATCTTATATTTTCAATTCCACAAATATATTCTATAGCATGGTAAATCTTATATTTTCAATACCACAAATATATTCTATAGCAAGGTAAATCTTATATTTTCAATGCTATAACTATATTCTATAGCAAGGTAAATCCTATATTTTCAATTCCACAAATATATTCTATAGCAAGGTAATTTTTATATTTTCAATACCTCAAATATATTCTATAGCAAGGTAAATCTTATATTTTAAATATCACAATTATATTCTATAGCAAGGTAAATCTTATATTTTCAATACCACAAATATATTCTACAGCAAGGTAAATCTTATATTTTCAATGCTATAACTATATTCTATAGCAAGGTAAATCTTATATTTTCAATTCCACAAATATATTCTATAGCAAGGTAAATCTTATGTTTTCAATGCCATCAATATATCTTTGTGTGTGAATAAATTTTTATAATAAAATAACATTCTATAGCAAGGTAAATCTTATATTTTCAATACCACAAATATATTCTACAGCAAGATAATCTTATATTTTCAATTCCACAAATATATTCTATAGCAAGGTAAATCTTATATTTTCAATGCTATAACTATATTCTATAGCAAGGTAAATCTTATATTTTCAATTCCACAAATATATTCTATAGCAAGGTAAATTTTCAATTCCACAAATATATTCTATAGCAAGGTAAATCTTATATTTTCAATTCCACAAATATATTCTATAGCATGGTAAATCTTATATTTTCAATACCACAAATATATTCTATAGCAAGGTAAATCTTATATTTTCAATACCACAAATATATTCTATAGCAAGGTAAATCTTATATTTTCCTCAACCCTCTCTTTTGTAATTTGAATTGATTGATTTTATATTATGATACTTTCCTAATTTCTAATTAATTGTTATAATATTCTTAAATGTGTTTTAATTAATTATCGTTAGAGCTCTAAATACTATTTCCCAGACATAACTTGTTTAAAGTTTAAAGTTTGTTACAAGAAACTTGAACTAATTTTTATAAAGAAGTATTGTTTGCGTTTCAAATTATTAGATTTTCCCCTTTTTTTGTTAAACAAGAAATATGAAAGCTCGGAGGAGAAGAAGAAGGTTTAGAGATTGTATTAGATAAAATGTAAACTATTGTTTTGAACAAACAAATTCTTAGTTTATGCAATACAGGGTTTACCACGAAAGATGAGACATAAATGAGGATAAAAACTTTTTCGAATTATCAATTTGAAGGTAGAATATTTTTTTAATTAGTTTAATTTATACTCTGGCAAAACGGGGAAAAGGTTTTTTTACTGGTAACCCTGTAAAACAAGGAGTGTAAATATCTTAACAATAGTTTTTTGAAGTTGTTATTGGTCTTGGTGGGTTTAAGCATAATGATTTCTCTGTCTTTATATCGTGTTTTTACATAAAAAGTTTTTAAACCTGTTAAAAAAAATTACATATTTATTTTTCATAAAGAATATGAAAAAAAGAAAATAAGAACTTTAACAGCCCCCCTTTCCTCCCTTCCAAACAAAAAAATGGAAAAAAAGAATTTTTATCAAAAAAAGAAATTTTCATAAATATGTTGAAATCTGGGTTGAATTGAATCTCGACAAAACTTCCAGAATATTTATCTTTTCGGAGTATTAAATGTTTAAAGAAAATCTAACAACTACTAAATGTATAAACTGAGCAAGGCTTATTATTGGTCTGCAAAATAAATACACGACAATTTTTTACTTTTTTTAACTTCTTCATATTTTTCTTTCTATAATGGGGAAGGAAATTGAACGCTAATATGCTCTGTTATGGTTAAGCTTATATTCATAAAGTTTACTTTAAGTAAATATTTTTTTCTAAATAAATAGTTTAATCCTAAACTATTCATCACTATATATACAATATTCATATTTTACTTGTTCTGTGGGCAAATATTCATATAAGACTTGCTCTGTGGGCAAGAGATTCCATTCAGAGTTCGGAACTTTTAACTTTTAATCCCTTCCGAAAGAACTAATTTAAATCCTTTGAAGTTACATGTATTAGGTTAAATCTTTGAAATAATCATTGACCCAGGTCCAACCAATCAGAAGCCACTAAAGGTTGATCTCGATAAATAAGAGATTGCAAAAATACGATCACATGACGATCCTTTAATAGCTGTCAATCAGAAACCACTAAAGGTTGATCTTTACAAATAAGAGATTGCAAAAATACGATCTCATGACGATCCTTTAATAGCTGTTAATCAGAAGTGTCCGCTGTAGAAACCAGGAATAGCTTTCTGATTCAAAAGTTTCTACTTCCGGTTTCCTAAATGATTGAACAATTTCAGAATATTTGGATACCTGGATTTCCATCCTACAACAGGGTTCAAGTTCTGGAGGGAGCTGGAATCTATTCTGGAGCAGAAGTTTATTCAGTTCAAACCAAGGCAGGAGAATATTTTTAAATGTTTTAATTTTGCGCAACTCTTTACATCTACATCTTTATTTTGGAGAAAGAAACTTATTAAAATCAAAATCCCCAATATTACATTTTTTGAATAATTAAAAGAATCATTGAAAAGATTAAATCACTTTTAAGTTTGGAATTATATTCACTCAACCTCTCAAGAAGACTTGAACAAAGTTTGACTATAGTAGAGAATACAGAATATTTGATCTGATGCGCCTCTGAAAATAACAAAAAGATTAAGATTCGATTTTTGCCGTCTTGTTTAAAACATCACTTTTTAAAAAAAATACTCTTTTAGTTTTAGTTTTAGGTTTATTTTGGTACTGTCGGGATCTAGATTTAATCATTGTAAAATAATTATCAAGGATTACAAATCCTTATTAATTATATTTCTTAAAATTGATAAACCAGCAGATTGCAGGAAGTCCTGGCTTGTAATTCCTTCCTGATTGTTACATTGTTATTTTAGGATGAAATTAAATTTACAATTTTGTCCACTTTCTTTAAAATCCCCTCAATCCGTTGAACATGGGAGGAAAATTGTATCAAACAGTGTCAAGGTCTCAACATATAGGTTTAAATGAACCTCTGTCTGACATCATCGATTCACAGTGGTACCCTTTAAGCTAACATCGATACCGGAGATATTCTAGATTTTAATCCTAAAATTGACCCGCTTTATTTTTGTAGCTCATAAGAGAGAACTAATGGCTACAATTTTTCTGTTTCTGAAAAAATACAATTTCTCTAATCGTTACTCAAATTATGTTTGTGAATTTTTGAGGGCATTTTATAGTCCAAGGTTTCATTGAAATTACGTACACAATCCCTTTAATCTGATTTCTGGAACAAGTTTTGAAAATATTTCCTGTTTAGAGAGATTATAGAACTTCTCGTGTCCTTCCTGTATATAGAGAAGTTTCCGTTAAACTTCACTGGTAAACTGTTCACACCATACTTTCTTGATCGTCTTCATTCTCAGCCTGGGCAGGACGTTTTCTTCTCCAGGATAGAACTTAAACTCTTTGATGCAGGTTAGATAAACATTAACAAAATATTGTTTACGTCAGGAGTGTCATGGTGATTGTTAGTAATATATGTGGAGTGAATATTTTAAACATATCTATATAGTAATCTCTGTTTGTCTGTCTGTTTGGATGAGTCTGATCTTAACTAAATCACCCCTTAACCGATTTGTCTAAATTTTGATTGGGGAACTCGGGAGAACCACGGGAATGTCCTTAAGTTGGTTCTGAGATTCTAAATTGAGTGTTTTTAATTTTGAAGGTAAAAATAGCTAAGATCGTAATTTACTACCAAGCGCGGGTAAACGGTGGAAGTAACTTTGAGTACCCTGGGCAATACTGGGTTCTCAAGAAATTTTTTTATTTAGTACTAAATAAGTTATTGAGTTGAAAATATATTAAATTATCCGAGGAATGAAGCTTGAATGTGTAAATATATAAATAAATGAATGAATGTGTAGATAATATATTAAATTATCCAAGGAATGAAGCTTGAATGTGTAAATATATAAATAAATGAATGAATGTGTAAATAATATCTTAAATTATCCGAGGATTAAGATTGAATGTGAAAATATATAAATAAATGAATGAATGGTAGATAATATATTAAATTATCCGAGGAATGAAGCTTGAAAGTGTAAATATATAAATAAATGAATGAATGTGTAGATAATATATTAAACTATCAAAGGAATGAAGCTCGAATGCTTGGTGTGTGTTATAAATAAATAAATATATATTAAATTATCCCAGGAATGAAGCTCGAGTGTAAAGGGTATGGTGGTCCATATCTTCCCAAAGATACGAGCTATAGACCTGTAGAGATTGATTCTAGAATCAGGTCAGTATTTATTAAATGAATCAGATTCATAAACCGGGGAATATCCTTTTACACATTTTACACTTTTCTTTCATATCACAAAGATAATACAGATAAATGTGATAAAGTCAATTTGTAATGTGTAATCTCTTGTTCTGTCCGTGTAATATCTTTTTATCTGTACAATATCTTGTCCTATTTGTAAAATATCTTGTTCTATCCGTGTAATCTCTTGTGATATCCGTGTAATCTCTTGTTATATCCGTATAATTTCGTGTTATATCCGTTTAATCTCTTGTTAAATCCATGTAATCTCTTGGTTTATCCGTGTAATCTCTTGTTAAGTCCGTGCAATCTCTTGTTAAATCCGTGTAATCTCTTGTTATATCCGTGTAATCTCTTGTTAAATCCGTAACAACTCTTGTTATATCCGTGTAATCTCTTGTTAAATCCGTATAATCTCTTGTTATATCCGTGTAATCTCTGTTATATTCGTGTTATCTCTTGGTATATCCGTGTAATCTCTTGTTATATCCGTGTAATCTCTTGTTAAATCCGTCTAATCTCTTGTTATATCCGTGTGATCTCCAGGTATATCCTTGTAATCTCTTGGTATATCCGTGTAATCTCTTGTTATATTCGTGTAATCTCTTGTTATATCCGTGTAATCTCTTGTTATATCCGTGTGATCTCTAGGTATATCCGTGTAATCTCTTGGTATATCCGTATTATCTCTTGTTATATCCGTGTAATCTCTTGTTATATCCGTGTAATCTCTTGTTATATCCGTGTAATCTCTTGTTAAATCCGTGTAATCTCTTGTTAAATCCGTGTAATCTCTTGTTATATCCGTGTGATCTCTTGTTATATCCTTGTGATCTCTAGGTATATCCGTATAATCTCTTGTTCTATCCGTGTAATCTCTTGTTAAATCCGTGTAATCTCTTGTTATATCCGTGTAATCTCTTGTTAAATCCGTGTAATCTCTTGTTATATCCGTGTAATCTCCTGTTAAATCCGTGTAATCTCTTGTTATATCCGTGTCATAATTTCTGAATAGTTAACGAATGTTAACTTAACAATAGAGAAAAAAGGAATCCAAATAAAATTCATAGTAGAGGTAGTACATTACTGAAGTAAATTAATTATAAAGATAGAAATAAAAGAATTAGAAGGTATTTCAGGATAAACACACAACCAACGCTAGTTTTTGTGGATCCTTGACTTTATCAAATCCATAGTTTAAGCGAAATATATAAATCATTTGACCTAGTTTTATAACTTGACTCAGCCTGAATAATTTAGCACAGAGTACAGAGTACAAAGTATTATGTATGAAAGCCTCCTCTCTTTGAATTATAGAAATTAAAAGTTTGAATATAAACCTGGAATTAGCAATCCTAAGCGTTACTAAATATTCTCTAGACGGATGTCAAACTTGCTTTTTGATCCTCTGGGAGAGATACTCGGAGATTACAGTAGGATTGGAACTCAGGTGCTTCTCTCCGCTCTTCCTCTTCATCCTTCATATATTGTTGATCTTATGATTTATCCAACCAGGGCAGAAGCTTTACTCAGGTAAATAAAGAACTTGTATTTTAATCGGACCGACACTTGTAATTATTTCTATAATAACCGGGGTTTTAAAAGAAGTAGACACAGTTTTGACTCGATCAGGTTAAATAAAGAAAATTAAATCTAGGAACATACTTGACTCTCCAGGAAATTAAATCTAGGAACATACTGGTCTTCTCCGGAAATTATATCTACTTGTCTCCCCAGGAAATTAAATCTAGAAATATATTTTACTCCCCAGGAAATAAAATCTAGGAAACATGCTTGACTCTCCAGGAAATTAAATCTATTTAGGAACATACTTGACTCTCCAGGAAATTAAATCTAGGAACATACTTGACTCTCCAGAGTCTAAAACTAAAGAACGAAAAGTTTTGACATAAATTTTAAGTTCATGGTTAAATGCCACTTCTGATTTAATTTAAACCCGAACTTTAACCGTGAGGTTAAATATTTGACCCTGTGGTTAAATATTTAACTCGCCGAAATCGACGGGTTAAAATTTAAACACAGGGTTAAAATCTTGAAATCCCGCTATCCCTATTTGTCTATCATCATTCAACGATAAGCGGCATTCAACTAATTACGATATATTTTAAAGTAAAAACCTTGATTTAATAAATTTCACGTTTTAGATTAAGTAATGTTTGCACGTAAACCCAAAATACGGTTGTAACTGGAAATATGTTTTGTTTTCGGTTACGTAAATATTTTATAGTTAACTAAAACAGCTGATTAGCGATGGTTACGTAATATTCTCCATAAATCCTTTTCTTTGATTGGGTGAAATTTTTCCCGGGAAATTCAAATTTAAAATTGAGAAAGTTTAATATTTAAGTAGCTACTCATTATTTTACAGAACTTTTAACCCCGAACTTAAAATTCGCGCATTCTTTTAGACTCTGGAAATCAAATCTATTTAGGAGAATGGTTCAAATAATTAACACCTCAATCTGGATTTCTCTATTAGTAATAATACTAACCATCATACAATTCTAAGCCTAGATTTGGATGAGATCTAGTGACTTATCATTTATGTAAATGCATATTGCATAATTACTGTAGATTTTAACAAATTTCTTTGAGTTCATACCTTGGATGAACTTTGCTCCAAGTGTGAAGTATCTCTGAACTAAAGTTGATTTCTATTAAGGTTTGGGTTTAAGACTGAGAATAGTTCTAATATTGCTGTCCTAGTTCATCTACCCGAGCATTATGACAGGTTGGTTCAAACTTCATGTCCTTCTCATTTATGTTTAAAGAATTTTTCAAATATTTATAAAGAAACCTTTTTTAACCGATTTTCGTTTTACTTTGAATTGCATCATTTTCAAAGATATACTTATATATTTATTCGAAATTGTATTTAAAGTTTTGACAATACCACCATTCTTTAAGGACTGAAGACTGAAGAGGATATAAAATATATCGAAATTAATTTCCAAAAATAAATATTGAGTTTCCAGGTGTTTCATGGCAAAGCACTGGCTCATTTAAAACTTAATTTTTACAAAATTATTTGTATATTATAGTTTTTTTTATATTTTATATTTTGAATTTTGGTTTTTCTCCGATTATATATTCCATATGAAGTATGAGACACGTAAAACCTAGGATGATCATTTTAGGTACTTTTAAACTGTTTGAGAAGAAGTTTCTCTGCCTGAGTCTTTTGATCCTAAACTTACTAGTTTCTTAATTCAAAATAGAGCTAGGATGTATATGTATAGTATTCACCCGTCTACAACCCGATGATGAAAATTATTTCTAGGGCTGACTACGAAAGTAGATCTAAAATCAATTGAAAAAAATTCTTGAAATAATGAGTGTTTTCCCAGGCGTGGAGTCCACCTCCTCGGTTCTCAAGCAATGAGGATCCGTCATCTTAAAACTATGGGATTCAGGTTCAATATTTTCTCATTTTGTTATTTATAAAGTAGTAATCTCTGTTTGTCAGTCTGTATGCTTGATCATAACTCATCAACCCCTTAGCTGATTTAACTTAAATTTTATTTGGGGAATTACGGGTATGTTTAGCTTGGTTTAAAAATTCTAAATTAAGTGGGTTTACTTTTATAGAGAAAGTTTAGTTTCCAGGTGAAGCTGGTTTCTCAAGCTAGTTATATATATTTATACATATACTTACATATATGTACTCTGCCTACATTTGATACATCTTTCTCATAGAAATTGAGTCTTTTTCAATCCCTATATCTTACCAACCTAATGTCGTAAACCATAGATATTGTAAACTATGAATTCTTTTAGATCAAATAATTTAAGTACGAATCATAAAAGTTTGTGTCTAAGACCTTTAATAAATTTTCAAAAATTATCATTCTTTTTCCGAAATATCTCAAATCAAGCAATATAAACTAACTACCTTGTATGGAGAAATCAAAGAGCCTAAAATAAAAATTTCAATAAGGAAGTTTTTTCCTTGTTTACTTCTTGCCCTGAACTGTAGGCATAATTATTATTATTATAGATTTATTTCCTGCACAAAGGTAAAATGGTAGAATATGATTAGACAAAAACAAGAATAAAGTATAGATATAAAAATATAGTTTCTATTTGGAGCATAAAAACTTAATCATGGGTGCGATCTCATCATCAACAAAATTGTTTAGAACAAAATTATCATTTTAACTTTGATTCATGAAAAATGTGTAATTTTCATTCTTGGTCTAAATGAATCTGATTGTATCATATCATATTTTATTTCACACAAAATTTGTTTAAATTTCTAGATTGTACATTACAATCTTGTGCTATAGATTCAAGATTGATTGATTGATTTGTGAAAGTTATGATGTTTAAGGGTTATGACCGTAGATTACTTGAAGCTAAGCCAACTTCTCCATAAACCATCACAACTCAAGGTAGTTAATACATCTTACATAATATAAAGAATTCGTCAAAATAATATTCGCCTGTAAACAACAGATCTAAAATAAAAGAATCGTCAAAAAATAATATTAACCAAATCATCTATCACATTTCAGTTAATACATTTAGTACTAGGGTACACATATTTTTGAAGTTAGTAGATAACCCCTCTTTTAATATGCACTTCTAACAGACAAGTGTGTTTTCCCACTAAATCTAAAAAACAGTGACAAGTGCCGCAACAACAAAAGAACATCCAAACATAGTGGGAGAACACGAGGGGGGTGTTAATTTTACAAGAATATATCCTTGAATCCCTGCATAACATATACAAGTACAATCTTTACTATAAACAGTTTGAATATTAATGAGGTCTGTAGTTTAAATATGAAAAGAACGGTCTGTTCAATGAAAGATAGGATAATAACGATAAAGAAAGGAATGAAAGGTTGAATATATGGTTTTATTATAAAGATATTACCCTCTCTCTACCCATCAATATGCAAATATCAAATAAATGAAAAGTATTCAGGAAGTAGAGTGACCAGGAAATCAATATAAGTTATAGATATAGTTGATATAGTTTATCAAGAGCAGTTTATTAAAGGGAGTGACCGGCTATGTAAGGTAGTTGAACTGAGTATGCAGTGTTGTGGAAAACTTCTTTCGGATTCATTTGAGGCATATTAAACTTTATAAAATCTGTAAATTCTGAGTTTGAGCGAAAATTCGACGTTCAAAACTCCTACTTTGGGGGTGGATACGTTTTCAGAATTAGTTTTTTTTTTAATTATTAAATAACGAACGAAAAATAAAGTAAAAATTATACAGTAATCTAATTAGATGGCTAGGAACATATTTCACAAAAGAAATTTGTCAATAAATCAATGCTAAAATCGATTATTTCTTTTTCAATAATATATTGAATTTTTAATTTTCTTTGAATTTATTCGCAGATTTCTTCAAATTCTTTAAATGTCGTCTTTTCAATAATAATTATAGAAAATCTGCGAACATCTTTGTGAATAATGAGAAACCAGAATAATGAGATAATAGAAACTAATAATTGAACAAGATTACTTATTTTCGATGATAAGATTAATTTTTATTTTCTCAAAATGTTCCTAAACATGACGTCTGTAGTTTATTCTAGAATATTTTTACATTTTATGTCGTCTTTAATTAATAATTTAAAAAAACTAATTCTGAAGTAGGAGTATTGAACGTCGGCTTTGCACTCAAACTCAGGATTTACCGAACTTTAAAGAGTTTAATATGTCTCAAATGAATCCGAAAGAAGTTTTCGAAAACACTGCGTACTCAGTTCAACTACCTTACATAGCCGGTCACTCCCTTTAATTCTATTTAGTATCTTATGTTTAAACCAAAAACCAAATGTAAAATGACATTGTAAAACACGACTCTTATTTTAGTTATTTTGAAATTTTCTTCATTTTTTTATAGTTTTTTTTATGGGAAATTTTGCTATTCTCTGCCTTTTGTACTTACCTTTTTAATTTGAATCATTAATTACCATAGACGTTCAGGTTTTTGAGTTATTTTAAAACTTTTCATAATATTTGTAAATAATTAATTAAGAGTGTTGTCAAATTATTGATTTTAAAAATATTTCAGGATTATCTCCGTGTTCAGTACTCTGAGGTTCGGAAGAACACAGAAACTAAATAAATAAATGAAAATGAATTCTACCCTTGTTCTCCTCTCCATAGTAACCAGTTTATTTTCTTGGTTATACATGCATTCAGTTAATAATTAGTGTTAATATTTATTCCCGTAGTCTAAACTGATAAATATACATTCAGACATGGAATTTGTTTTTCTTTGTACATTCTAATCAAATCTAGTATTAATCTGGATTTTTTTTATCGTTTTTGTTTGTTTTTGTTTCGTTTTTGGTTTGTTTTTTGTTCGTTTTTTGTTTGTTTTTGATTTGTTTTTGGTTTGTTTTTAGTTTGTTTTTGGTTTGTTTTTGGTTCGTTTTAGGTTTGTTGAATAAATCAACGAGATTATATCATTTAGAGTGATGATGTACTCTAATCCTTTACTACTTGTACACTGTACAGGCCATGCACTTCACTTCCAAAGGTCAATCTGTATATTACAGTACTCGGGGGTGATTTTAGAAAATACTTAAAATTTGTTTTCCATGTAACTATTAAAATCCACTACTTCTTCATCTTGTGCAGGATTCCATCTTCACAACAGTATATTTACAGAGCAATATTTCATCCTTAGTAAACTGTTCTGAGAAAACTGAGTAAAATTCATTATACAAAACCTCCCCATACACGTGTACTCCGAGAGCGTACTGCATATTTGATGTTTGTACTGTATGAATAGGCCATTATATCCTTTATCAGTTAACTATCACGAGTGTACACTCAGGCTAATACACACGAAGAGGTAGCTGAGATCCAGCCCCCCTGGAATAAATACAATAAACGAATTCTAAATTTTCTTTTTAAAATGTTTTAAACCTAATTTTGTTCCTTGTATTGAAGATGGGGAAAACCTCATTATCATCAATCTATTTCAGGGGTAATTTATCCTTCCAAACATAACCTGTCAATATATACCATCGGGTTTATACATCCTTCACATTAACACACGCATGCAGTACAAATTAAAAATTAATCAAATATTTGTGTACTAGACTAAAATAAGTACACAACTTCACTCATTTCAATATAAAAATACATAATTCATACCAAATTTAAAAAGGGAGGGACTAATTACGATTATTAACTACAGGGTGTCCCAAAAAACATGGGAATTCAGTGACGAATTCGATATCGTCTTTTCAAATAATTCCTTGATTTAGTGTAGTGATACCTACTGAGAAAGCTGTAATCTGTAAGAGTTTCGTCTGCTATGTTTACATTTGTTTGTTTATGTTTTGACTGCATACAGTTGTACTTAGTAAAACAAGAAAATTGCAGTATACAAACAGAGTAAACTTGTCTGTCTTCACTGTTCATCTTGCGGAGACATTATAGACACATCTTTACAGTCTTTTACCCTTTTCATAAAATAAGCTCTAGCAGACATAATAATATTATGGCTTTGAAATTAGGTATTACAATGCTAATTCATAACAAAGACGATATCAAATTCGTCACTGAATTCCCATGTTTTTTGGGACACCCTGTATCCTAAATTTGACAATATATGAAGGTAAAAATGTTGTTCTGCCGAGAATAAAGTCTCAATGTTACTTGTTGAATTAAAAAAAAAAAAAAAAAAATTACAATATTTTGGAAGAAAAAATACTAAATGAACTCTGTTCTGTCGTCCTTGAAGGATGTTCTCTGATAAAAAAGTTTTAAACTGATACCTAGTCTACATTTCACCAAAAAAAATTTCATAATTTGATTATTCTTTGAATGAAAAATAAAAAAATTACGACGACATTGGACAGAGAAAATTATTGTCATGATTTGAATGAAAAAATCTGGAAAGTTTACAAAATTGTTGTACAAAAGTAAATATTTCCGTGTTCTTAAAAAGTTTAAGTAATATTGCCCAAGATCATTAATCCTTGAGAAAAGTTAAACAATGTAGAAATATTTAAAGTTTAATATTCAACTAATGAAACCTATTAATCAACAAAAATTTCATTTATCTTGTAGAATTCTAAACAGCTTTTTGGACCTTAAAAATGTCAAGAAAGTTTATTTATTAGTATTTTCCATATCAAAGACACTAAAGGAGACACTGTTGCTGTTGGCCAGGGTTTAAGAATAAAGGAAAGGGAAATGGCGCTGGTCTGACATGAGAAAGCCAGTCGCACCGCTTTGCAGACTAGATCGTTATTACATACGCACACTCTTGTGGTGTACAGACACACAAAATGACTACAGTCAAGGAAATTGCAGAACAATGTCGTCAATTATAATTAAGCTTGAATAACGAGTAGTTTATTGTAAACTTTAATCAAATTATATTATTTGTATGAAAATTTGTCTTACATTGTTAACTTAAATATATAAATAATATATTATATGTATATTAAACTTATCTTTAAGTAAGCAATTAACATTAAAGAAATTTACTCTCCTAGACTGTACAAATACCGAGACTCTTGTGTAATGTATATACATACAGTCTACACGCCTTCGGTTCGTTATCACTTACGTACAATCTTTTGGTACAAACACACATACATGACGTTTCCGCCCCCTGCTGTTGGCGTAATTTCAGTTGACTCTCCATGCAAAGATAACAATGCGGAATTAACAACGGTAACCTTGAAAAAATGTTATGATCAATGATCAAGTTTAAATGGTTTATTTCTAATAATTCCTATATGTGTTTCCTGTAGTAGAAATGCGCTAGTCTCTATTTGAGGAAAACTCACAATTTAGAAAAATCATTTTTTTAAATTGTTAACATAACATTGATATAATTCATACTTGATAAGACAAAGCATTTAAGGGTACCGTTGTGAATCGGGCATATTTATCAAACATGTATACGCTGACAGGGAGAACCAGAAAACTCTGAAATAGAAAGACAACTTTTATACTTAAATTATAACTTTAAATAATCCAATAAATATCGGACACAGCTCACACAGCAATTGTGCAGTGCAAATAGACCAATTTCACTAAACGAACACTGATGCATCTATAATTCTGCTCAGAGATAACTGGTTTCAATATGTACGCAGAGTATACGCAACTGCAATTAACTTTTCTTGCATTAGAACCTTGGTATAATCTATACCTATAAATCAAATGAAAATTGCCACCCCCTGGCTGGGCTACATAAGTCTGACAATTTGAACCTATAAAAATTGTATTATTGTTTGTGTATCCGACAATATATTATCCCATTAGATATCTTCGGATCGAGTAGGAAACTATTTATAAATTCTTGTCCAGTACCAATCAGAGATATTTAGGTTGGAACCAATTTTTCCAATCTATATATTATCCGTTCACTCCACAAACTAATCTTATCCGTAATTAAAGGGAGTGTTTGGGAATTTTTTTGAAGGTTTTTAAATCAAATGTGTCGATCAAATGATTATGGTTGATTCTCAAGGTTGTATAATAAATAATATTTGAAATAATGAATAAGGCCTGCAGATCCTACTCCAAAGAAGACCCTGTCAAAGCTTCTTCGTGCGTTGCTTTCGAAGCTCTAGTCATGAGGTTTTTATTCCTTTTGGCAAATAGGTTAAATTGATTATTAGCTGATTCCAGCATAAAATACATTATTAAGATTTATTTTCTTTTAAAATCTCTTTTTGAAAACATTAGATATTGATAATAATAACAGTAATATTGATAATTCATAATTCTTTCTCAATTTTTACTTCTATATTTTGCAAACACTCAAACTCCGTATCTTACATATTAAAAAATTAAATTAAGGAATGGATTCTTTACCCCCAACTCTTAAATTCTAATTCCTTTATCTTTGCAACCAAATATTGTAGACCTTACACATGTCAAAGTATTAATGCTGTTAGATCAATTAATCTAAGTTTGAAAAATCAAAGGTTTACGCCATCAGATTGCAAAGATATGGGGATTCGAATATTTGCAGTTTTTGGCAAATTCCTTTTTAGGACGGAACCCCCAAGGTCTGTTTCTCTGGGTGATAAGGTACCCTATGCTATGGTGTATATTTACTTGAATTGTTTTTGTTTTGTTAAGTTGTTTTGTATAAAACGTTTTACAATATTACATCATTTATAAAAACAAAGAGACAATTGAGTTTCAACTAGGGATTCCATTTTTTCGGATGAATTTGCGGTGGCGCAACTAGGGGGGGGGAGGGCGAACCGAGTTGGGACCCCCCTCCCCCTCAGCATATTTGTAACTTTTTTCTCGTTTTCGATTTGAAGAAAGTCAGTCATTCTTAATTTATTCTCTCAAAAAAACCTGTTTAATATGTTACTTCTCATGAGTATTACAATACATATACCATTTATGGTTACACAAAACCTGATAACTTAAGAAAAATAACAAGAAATATAGTAAGGATCATATCGGACTATTAGGACTTTTGTAGACTATAGGATGAAAACAGGGATAAGCCCCTAACTGGCAAACAAGGACAGAGGGACTTTGATCAGAAAGACTATTATGGATTATGGACAGACGAAATATAGTCAAGTACTACCAGGAAATACCTTACTACTTAGGACTGCACAAACCTAAGATTAAGGGACTATATAGTGGACAAATATGACTAGTGGATGAATTACAAAAAATTGCGTAGACTGTAATAGGGGACTTTACTACATAGTGAATATGACTAAGCCAGGGACTGAAAGACAGTAATAAATACATGAAAAGACACATATAGAAGAACATGTGGTTCATTCTAAAGCTGTTGGAAGTATATTTTTTAAACACAAGAACAAGCCATGGATTTTATAACAATTTGGTATATTATTGAGCATAGTGTCAACCCTTTAACAATTAAAAATGCTGTTTTTTACTTAAAATCCTGAAAAAAACGCTTTTTTGAAAAAATTTTCGATCCCGGCCCCTCAAATTCTTTCTCCCCTCCCCCCCTTTACAAAAGTGCTATTTGGGCCACTGTCAATTTGGATTTAAAGGCTTTAAGGATCCTTTGCTAAAGGTTAAAAACTTTTGAAAATTAACGGTGCACTATAGTTTCAGCATTTACTGTTATATCCCCGATATAAGGATTTATATCTCTAATTGGATAATGAGATAGATAGAAAGATGTAATTTCTATTGGTTCAGAATAGACACCAAACACATTATTGAACCCTGATTGGATCAGGCGCTGTAATGAACTCGGCATACAAGACTGGGCGAAACTTTTCTT